AAAAATCCCAAAAATAGTAATATTTCATTTTGCACAATATTGATATGTAATATTACTGCATCTAGATTTTTGAAATTTAGTTTACTTGTCTATTTTAGGCGTATTCAATTTTTTTTTTCTTTTTTGCATGTAAAAGTGTAATATAACATTAACATTATATAATTATCTTATAAAATCGTTTCAAAAATTTTCGATGTTTCAAAACATAAAGTTGACCTGAAATAACCGGCAATTTTACTCAAATCCAAATCGTAAATGTAAATTAGATAGTGGTAAAATTAATATTTTATTTTTTGATTTTTATTGATTCAAAAAAAAAAAAACTTTCTATTGGTTATTCGCTTTTTTGTACCTTTAAGGAGTGGCATTTTGCATACATAAATTTATCGATATACTTAAAATACTAAAAATAGTCATTAATGTACATGAAAAAAATTTATATATTTCTATACACAGTGTTGAATAAAATGAACCTGTAGATATTAAATGATGCAAAGCTAAAACATGCAAATCTTAAAAGATTTGCATGACTTGGCACACTCATTTGAGATTTATTCCAAATTATATACATAATAATCTATAAGAAAAGTTCAAATTTTAATAAAATCTATTAAGTTTAATAAAATGTCTACGTACAGCGCATATATATAACAAATGTCTACAGCACATATACATAGAAAATATCATACTTTAATATATAGCGTCTATATAAAAATTTCTAAAGAGTTGTCATCACTGTTATTTGATAAAAAATCTTCAGAATTGCTTTTTTTAATCTTATATGCATAAAATTTGTTTTTTAAAGTCTTGGTATATTTTAAACTTTACCTATACTGGTTACTGCGCTGATGTAACAACAGGTTCAGCTTCTAGTGATAACGCCATTAAAAGAGCTTCTAGTTCACCACCATCAGACATCGCTATCTGTGCTACATTACTACCAAATATCGATCCTGCTGCTTCATATAGACGTCTTTCTATTATTTCACCTATATAATCCAATGGTGAGCTTGAAGGTGACGCTTTATTATTACTAAGAATGTTCATTGATGTCGATGTGGCATTAGTTATACTTGGTGTTGATAACGAAGGAGTATTCATCAAAGGTACAATTGTATTATTATCAGATGAAGGTGTAATAGTAATGGTAGTCGGTCGTGATAATTGATTTTCAAAAAGATAACTTTTTGATGTGTATCTTTTAATATTATAAACACTCTTTTTAAGTGATCTAAATTTTTCAAAGTTTATTAATTCAGGTTTTGTACATTGTTCATCTGAAAAAGTTAGCGATGGCATTGGGGAATTTGATGCCGCTCGTAACCCATGAGATTCTTGATTATATTCAATAGTTGGTGTTGTGGTCGCTGAAGGACTTTGAAATTGTTTATCTCGAAAACTATTATCGGATAAAAAGGTTGGAACACCTTCCATTATAATTGTTATGTCCTTGAGAAAAGAAGCTAAGTAAAATAAAATGTGTTATTAATATATTCATAAAAGTAAATATACCCTAAAAGGAAATTTTAAAAATCCATACGTACCAAAAAATGGTACTATAGGACATTTAGCATGTTCTAATGATGTTCTATAATTTCGCATATTCCCTGATGAATCAATAAGCTCTTCAATACATTGTAGATTCACAATATCTTGATTTGACAATGATTCCCAAGTTTGTTCAAGCCGGCGTACTGGCTTCGAATTCAAAGTTAACGCGATAAACATTGATGTGTGAAAGTTATTAAATTCTCGACAATACTATTTTTAAAAGATGTTAATAATAGAAAAGTTAAAATTAACCAATTTTATCATAAACAAACCTTGGCAGTATCAATGAATTTGCGAAGTAGTGCTTGTCTCGCTTCTACTGTTTTCAAGCTACATATTTCATGAGCTATCCAATGACTTAACTAATAAATATTGAAAAATTTATACACACATATATATATATACGTTTGTTATGTAACACTTCAAATAATTAAAGGAATTAAATAGATATGTATTACCATATTGGATCTCC